TTTAGGGGGATAAATCACTACTGCTATTTTATTTCAATTCAATTCAACAAGTTGAAGGTAACCTACCTTCTTTGGAACTCTAGTGTCACAGACCCCACTAAGAATGGTAGCTCAAAGTCCTCATAGTTAGAAAATGGGTTTCCTTCTTTGGGCCTTCTATTTACATGGGTCAATCCCTGTTTGTCCTATATATATGATTACTATATCTAAAGAAGATTTTGGTTCTTAATTAAACAATGTGAGACATGATTCATTCCCAAAGAATTCCAAAGATTAAAAGACCAACATGAAGAGATATAAAGATTGGAAAATAAAGAGAAACCTATATATTCCTAGCTAGCATCATGTTTAATAATATTTATAATTATTTGTTTTTAACATATATTTGGATTGGGGTGTGAAATCATGAACCCATTACGAATTCAATATTTGTAGAATTTTCTTAAGGGAAAATCGATCTAAGGTCCCTATCCAACTTTTAGTAATGGATTAGGTCCACAATCTGTTCTTTTGTAGTCTAAGGTCCCTCACCCCATCCCCTCTCCATCCACGTTGTCCTGAGCTTGATCACCGCTGGCTCCAAATCCCCAACCCTTGACCAGTTTCTCTCCTTCCTGCACTCAGCTCCTCCGCTAGGGACACATCGATCGACTCGATGGCGATGAATCGGTTGTCTTTCGTCTAGGGTTTACGAGCCACATGCTTCGTTCGCCATTCTCGCTCTTTCGAACAGCAGCTTCTTCATCCTGTTGAGAGATCTAGAATAGTAGCTTCTTCGCCATACCATGATGTTGAGACAGAGCTACAACATATATCTCCATCCTGTTGCAGGTACTAAGAACAACAGCTTCTTCTATATGATTCAAACTACACAGCTCTGCAATGGCTCGAGGCCATTCTGCTTTAGGAACGGCAAGTTTTTCACGCATTTCAACAGGTGTAGTGTGGACACTGAGCCCAATAACTACGATGCTGCTCCTTTCCTTTGTATATCCTGATGACATCAAATATTAAATCTCAGAGATACCTAGGAAAACATTCATTTGTTTCAATTGGACTAATATATTCTGTTAAAAAACAGTGGACTAATATATTGAGACGAACCCGTGCATTTAAGTAGATCTTAGGTTTGTGTACCCATTCCAAGATTTCAAATGTATGTCATTGAATTGAGTGGTTGTATTCAATGAATATCTTGAGAAAGACACAAGAAAGTGAAATAAATTTGGTAGTAGGACAAGAAAGTGACTTAATATTTAGGCATGGACAGTCTAATTGTTTTGTTTTGACACTAGCACTCCATTTGTTATTGAAAATGGTAGGGAGAATCTCATTTAAAATAATAAATTATATTCTTTTTAACTAATTGGATAAGAGAATTTTGCTTATTTATTCGTTTGGTGAACAAAATTAAAATATTTATCAGCGTTGATGCAAATATTTGACTATTTATGTTACACAAAAAGATAATAATGTTGTTTGGTGTAAGTTCAACTTATGTGCAAGGCTATGATTGGTCGCTACAAAATGAGGGGAAATTATTAGATATTCATAAAAACAAGAACACTAGGTTAGTTATCATTTGTCTCTTAATTACCTAACGAAGCTAAGTCATCATGTTCCACTTGCAAAAATTTTAATGTTTGCTACGCAATTCGTTTAGAACATCATGTATGTAATGCCATATGATACTCTAAAATTACTATCTACAAATTCAATTTTTGTATAGAAAAATTTACATTTAGAATGAATTTAAACATTCATTATTTTTTTCGTATTTTTGTATATTTTCTTATTTTGTATTTGTTGTGTGATTAATTTTGTATATGAAGTATTTTGTTTAAATTAGATGTTAACGAAACATTTGAAAGTAACCTACCCTGTTGATGTCTAATTTAAGGAAAATGTTTGGAAGCTCTAGAAAATGAGTTCTAATAGCTCTAATGTGTGTGAGTCTTATCTGATGTGATGTTTTGGCCTTGTGTGTTCTTTTTTTTTTTTTTTAATTTTCTACATCACTAGAACTCAATTAGAACTCTAATTTTAGGGGGATAAATCACTACTGCTATTTTATTTCAATTCAATTCAACAAGTTGAAGGTAACCTACCTTCTTTGGAACTCTAGTGTCACAGACCCCACTAAGAATGGTAGCTCAAAGTCCTCATAGTTAGAAAATGGGTTTCCTTCTTTGGGCCTTCTATTTACATGGGTCAATCCCTGTTTGTCCTATATATATGATTACTATATCTAAAGAAGATTTTGGTTCTTAATTAAACAATGTGAGACATGATTCATTCCCAAAGAATTCCAAAGATTAAAAGACCAACATGAAGAGATATAAAGATTGGAAAATAAAGAGAAACCTATATATTCCTAGCTAGCATCATGTTTAATAATATTTATAATTATTTGTTTTTAACATATATTTGGATTGGGGTGTGAAATCATGAATCCATTACGAATTCAATATTTGTAGAATTTTCTTAATTGTACAAGATGATAAGATTTCTTAGATTTTGACTATAAATAGAGTACTTTAGGTTGTGTTCAAATTATGAATTTGAATAAAAATTTGAAAATGATAAAATAAAAGGTGAAGGCAATGTGAATGAAATATAAACTATTTTTTTTTTCTTTTTTTTCCTTCTTTTTGTTTCTAATTTTTTTACCAAAATCCATAATTCAAATACAGACTTTTATAATTGTGGTAGTGTGAAAATCAGAAAGTATTAGGCTTATAGAAAAAGAGGAGTGAGTTTATACTCCCACCACAAAAATCCTAAATAGAATGAACCCAAGTTGGATGAGAGAGAATATCAAAAAGAGAAAGGGAAAGATTGAAACCGAGAAAAGGCTATATCCACTGACAAAGATGTTTATTTTGAGAGCTCAAGCACAAGCAGGTAGGACCTATGAAGTCCATTTGATCACCTGCCAATAAGATTTTGAAAGAAGGGACTAATTATGAGATTTTTCAGGTCATCAATGTATTATGTTGGCTCTTATGCAGACCAAGTGATAGAAATATGAGATGTATACAAAACAAAAATTTGATTTAAGAGAAATAATTCAAGACCTGATCCTATATTAAAATTATTAGAGATATTTAACTTAAAATCTATTGGATTCGGATGGAGAGACGTCTAGATTGTATTAGAGAAATGTTATTGAACAAGTTTTTAATACTAATCTTGAAGTGTTGGTATTAAAATTTTCAAAAACTAGAACTATTAAAATAAAGAGATTTCCAAAACTTTGGATGATTGTCCCAATCACCCTTCTTAAATCCAATCTTGTGTGCTTAGAAAAAAAATATATAATCATACTAGTGATGCCATTTTACATCAAATAACGTATCGCAAAAAAAATTAGATAAGTCTTCTTTCACACTAATTTAACCATGTTATGATTCTGATTGCAAAACGAGATTAATTATTAGATGATATTTATTAGTGTGCTTACACATGTGCTAGATATATAGATGCCTGTGAGTCAACAAGTTTGCCCAAGCAAGAAACTAGTGAACAAGAGAATCTGATTTTCTTGGTCTACTCTGCTTGCTCATTGAGGAAAAAAGAAAATCTATAACCCTTCCAACAAGCCATGGGACATCTCTCTGTCTCTGTCTCTGTCTCTGTCTCTCTGAAGTACTGCCTCTCTGCCACTCTCTGCCAGAGCCAAATAAAGAGCGTCATGTGGGAGGGTCTCAAATATATATCAATAACATGGCTCTTTCTTTCTTACAACTACTTGCCAAGGAATTCAACTTAGTTAATGGGCATCCATCTTGCTGTGAGGTGTATTGGCATTATAGGATGTGTATAACCCTTTTCAATTTATTTATTTATTTATTTTTGTTAATTTGGCTTAACTTCTTCTCGCAATTTATCAGACATAAATTACTTAAATAAATTGAAAAAGATTTATTATTGAGACACAAAGAAATGAGTGTTTTTAACTTTACTTTTTTGTTATCAATTTTTATTTTGCAACAAGTTGCACCAAACAAACCTACTGTATCTCTGTTGTATATTAAAATTTATTGTAAGGGGCCTTATATGGATGACTGCATTTTTCAACTAGGGTTTTAGTGTGTAAGTGTGATAGTATTATAAAGAATCATTGGGTTAAAAGATTACAGCTTATGAGTTGATAATTGACGAAGGAAGATGCACTTTTAACTTTTACTTTCTAATTATTAACTTCAACTTATAAAAAACTATGCCAAACAAAACCCAAAATACAATTTTCATTTCACAAAATCTTTATGCAAAATGAGTGCCAACATTTTGCTTTTGGTGTCCAACTGGAGAAGTTCAGAAATGCCTAACTTGGCCCAATATGTTATCATTTGACATTGAAATGGTGCATTCAAGGTTTTGGGGGCCCTATGTGACCTATTATTATCTTTCAAAAGCACCAAACAGTCTGAGCCCAAGTCCCATTCTTCCTCAGAAGGTGCTATACACACTAAAAATATTGTGAGTCCTCAACTTGATGCAATCAAATAGCTGCCCTAATGCTTCGGATTTTCTTTTTGCAAGACCCATCATGTTCATGACACCCTCCACATAAAATTCCTCATTTCTCAAATCTTCCCAGTCCCTCTATTTTAATGCACTATTAACTATTGAATTATATGAGAATATCGAAGTGTGTAAATTTTAACATATGATCTAATGATTGAAAGTGTATTGGGACTAAAGAATAGAGATTTGGAGACGGAAGATCCGAAGCTGCCAAAATATGATTAGTACAATCAACCAGGGCTAATCCAGTTAGTTAGGATCTTCACTTTATAAGGTGAGATTAAGAGTTCAAATATTATCACAGATAAAACTCCCTGTACCCTACTATGACCCACAAATGTACCCAAAACAAAAACAAAACAAAACAAAAAGTGTTACTCAAGATACGTGGAATCAAGGATGACATGTATCTAAGAATTAGTTGAGGTGAAGCCCCAAAATAACTACGACCTGCATAGTGATATGCTCTCTATATAACACAAAACAATAAGTCTCACTAATATTTATTAGAAAAATGCTTGAGAGCACTAAAAAGGGATCACTAGAGGGATCACTAATGATGTGACAGTGGGCCCCGCCCACTTTCTATGCCTTGTTTTTATTTTTTTATTATTTTTTTTGCCATTCCCAATATATTAGTGCTATTACTAATGTAGTTTTTAGTGGTCTAAATCATTGTTGTATTTATTAATGTAAATTTCATTTTCTTTATATCTAGTGAAAAGAAAATCGTATAAAAATTCGTTAATGCATAGCATTTTCCTATTGCAAAACATTTATGATCATAAGTGCACATGGTGAGGGATTGGATTGTGGGGGCATAGACAACAAGGCCTTACAGTCCCAAACAAAACTTCCCTTTCAAGCAAACCCTAACCCCACATTAAAAATCAATAAATAAATAAATAAAGAAGAAAGAAAGAAAGAAAGAAAGAAAAAGTGAACAAAATGATTTGATTACCCCAACAACATCAAATGGGAAAACCATAAAACAAAGGGTTGGCCCTACTTTCCAACCCCAAATGGTCTCAACTCAACTCTCAAGGTTGATATGGAATTGATGAATGACAACTTACAAAGTCTCATTGAGAGAGCAAAGGCATTGCATGATGAGATCAGCTTCAAAATAGAACAACATGACAGTGTTAGATTATGCAGATTTTGTTCAGAGCATGGTCAGCACTATTGTGGTGTTACAGTTACAGAGACCCCATTGGAGGAGAGGGAAAGCTTGATTGCTACTAGAGATTCACTCAAGAATGTTGAGAACATGCTTGTTTTTTTTCAGGTTTGGTTCCCTTCTCTTTTCCCACTGTAATTGCAAATAACTTTGCTTTCTTTCTAGGAAAACATTTTCATATTAAAAATACTTTATTTTTTAAATGCAAAATTTTTTAATATTGGATTGTTTCTATCGTCTCTCCTAAAATCAGTTAGTCTTAGAGAATGCTTTACTTATATCTTTTATGGCATTTGACATCGCGTCTTCACACATGTTTTTAGAGTGATCGTAGTTAGTGGCATTATGTAGCTCCTCACAATGACACTCTTGCGACTCGAACATGTCCCTAATACCAATTGAAATACCCTTTTTCTTGATTAACAGTTATGGATTGATTAGGCAAATCATCAAACACTTGATGCTCAATTAAAAAATAAAGCATTTTTTTTTTTATTATTTAGAATTTCTTGAGTATGGCCTCAATCTATTTGTGCAGAGATTGAATTCATGGCAGCAGAAAGACCGGTATGCAGCTCTTGCGCGAATGGAAGAAAGCCGACAAATCCTAACGGAGAAAGTGACACACTTTCAGGGGAGAGCACTAGATGTAATTGAAGAGTTGAAAACATTGAAAACATGCTTTGAAGAAGATGATACAAAAACTGCTTCCAATTCAAAAACAACGGTGGTTGACAAAATCAAACAGAACATCCTCTGCTTTGGGAGTTTGATCAAGCCATGGAATTGGCATAACACTGCTAAAGAGGCTATGAAATTGATTCTGGTTTCAGCATTCATTTCATCTGCATTTGGGTTTTGTAGAATCAGGCAAGGTTGTGACGGTTCTCGGAGAAAAATGCTTTCGTTTGCAGATTCAACAACAGCAGGAGGGAGAAAGGATTTTCGGCTAACTGCTTCGAAAAACAGTTTTGATGTTTTCCATGGAAGAGGGTGATTTTTTGAAATCATTTTGATTAGTTCTTTATATTGGTTTGTCCTCAGAGTTGTTTTTGCTTTGAAATCATGTTTGTTCCAAATACTGATAAATTTCACATCTCAATTATTATACCTAAGCACACATATTTTTTGAAGTTGGATTCTAAAAATAATGCTTTTACGGCAGTGATAAAGAGAGTATGGAGCTCTATATAGTTGGCAGTGAAAAAAAAAAAAGAAAAAAAACAAATCATAGTGGGAAAAAAGACAAATTAAAACTCTTTTTTTAGAACTCTAAAATATTTTTCTAATGCTGTAGGTTCATTTTAAATTTTGGAATAAATTTAAGTGCATAAATGATTTTTACCAAATGAGATAGGGATGCATTGATTCTTAAAATATTTTGCTTCTCTTCAATGCCACTTTCTTCTCAAACAAACATCTCTCAAAACCTTTAACCATGTGATGTGATCACTCTAAAGATCAAAAAAGAGAGACAGGGAGAGGTGTGTGTAGTACCTTACCAAATTAAAATGAGAGTTTTTGTCTCAGTTAATTAATGGGAAAATTCCTTGTCAATGATCTTTTCAAAATTTAATTACAAAATCATGGAATAGTTTATGATTTTAAATATTAATGTTTATAAAGAATGTCACTAATTTGTAAATATTTTTTTACATTAGTAATTTCCCCTTAATTAATTGAATTCGAGTATGTGGAGTTACTGTGAGTCTCACTTTAATAATTCAATCCGCTTACTTAACAAGTCTTTACGTGTAGATTTAGATTATTCTTGAAAAAAAATAAGTTGCTTCCATAATCGTAAGTATATACTTTAATCTTAATTCTGTTTAAAAAAATAAACGACAAATATGATATTAAAATAAATCGTCTATTATATTAAACACAAACATGATGAAATATTGTAACTACAATTATTAAATTAATTAATTTTATTTTTTATAAAATAGTTACATACAATAGTTTAAAAGTTTTAAGTAAAGAGTCTGATTGGCTGATGAACCTAAATTTTGGAGATTGAAAAGATGCTTATTCTAAATGGACAGATATCAAGGATTCATATAAGTTTTATATTCATTCCAAAAATTTGTTTATTATTTTTTGTTGTTATACGGTAGATAACAATTTGATAAACGGAATTGAGCCGTAGCTCGAATTGGCTCGAAAGAGGGAGAGAAGAGGGGAAGAAGAGAGGAGAAAGAGACAGAGGAGAAAGAGGGAGAGAAGAGGGGAAGAAGAGAAAGAGGAGAAGAGCCAGCACCACCGTCGCCGCCGAGAATCGTCGTTGCTCGTCGCCGGCCGTCGCTGCTCGTCGCCTCGTCGCCCGCCGTCGCTGCTCGTCGCCTCTGCCTCGCCTCTGCCCCCCGCCTCCAGCCCCATTTGTTGGGCCCCCTCCTCCTCCTCCTCCTCCTCCCCCTCCTCCCTCCTTCCTCCTCTTTAAACCACTAACTCAGCTCAGCCCAACAAAAGTTGAGAATTTGACAAATTGGTGAGAAAAATAATTTGTTTTTTTATTTTTTTTAATAAATGTTTTGAGTAGCAATTGCTAGAACAGAGGTACTGATATACCAATATTGGTTTCTCAAATTATATAAATCACATTTCATCACGAAAGAATGGAACTTCCTAAACCAAACCAAAATGAAAAAGATTCAAAGCTAGGCCTTGAAATCAACAAACAGTTACATAAAAGGAATTTTGTAGCTTGTTCTTCATGTGGATAATTGAAATATGATTTCAAATTCCAAGAACTCGTTTTTATTTTTGATAGGAAATTGTGTGAAATCCTTAAAAAAGTTTTCTCAATTCGACTCACAATGACATGGCATGATATTTAAATAATAATAATAATAATAATAAATAAAAAAAAAAAACCCGCAAAATACAAGGGTCACCTTCCAAATCGTCTTAGGCTTCAACTCTCTGCATAAATTGGGCCTGAGGTCGGACCCAGAAAATCGGCACATTTAACATGATCCCAAAATCGATTGGGCCTAGAATTTGTAAGAGGTTTTGCATCAACTCAGGCTAATCATGAGGCGCCACGTGTCATGAGTTCAGATTTGTTTTGGTTAACTCATTGTGGGATTAATCGAACGGCAAGGATCCTCTAGAGTGAAATTTTCCTAAAGTTTCCTAGAGTGTTATATTGTGTGGTTGAGATTTATTGACAAGTCACATCAGAAAAATTGATGTGACTTGCCAGTAAATCTCAACCATACACTGTAGCACTTTAGGAAACTTTAGAAAAAAATCACTCTAGAGGATCCTTACTCCTAATCGAAACTCATCTTAATAATCTTGACCGATCATTTCATATAATAAGTTGAAAAATATACATATAGAAATAAAATTAGGTATTGTATAAAAATAATTACTTGATCAAAGCACATATATGTTTTAATAAACAAATGGTACATTTTAAAAAATATATATGTCATATAAATAAAAATAATCTAATGTTATGTCAATTAATATGGGGTCAACTTAATTTTTACATAAATAAATTTTTTAATTGACTATATAAGATAAATGGTTAAAATTAAAAATAATTTATTTCCCGTAAAATTAAAAATTTTAAATTTAACAAATCTAAACTCTTGCTTGTAAAATGTTGGAAACAAATTATAAAGGCTTCGTTTGGGAAGTGGGTTGGTTTTTGACTTTTTTTAGCCTGTGGTTAAAAAATCTGATTTGGGAAAGACTTTTGATTTTTCTGACTTTTTTGTGAGAAAAATAATATAATGACTATGAGTTGGATGTGATATTTTGTGGCAGGACTTTTGAAACTAATGCATAATAATAGTGTCTCATTTTATGGAGAAAATCTCTCCCTTATCCTAAAGAGAAAATATTTCCCTTATTCTAAGCAGAAAATCTCTCCCGCACATGAAAAAAATATCAAATTATGAACTTTGAACCTTTTTATAATTTGAAAATTTTAAAAATAACGCAACAAAATATCTGAATGAAAATCAAAATGTTCACAGTAAACAACAAACATGCAACAAACTTTTGAAAAAATAAAATACATATTAAAGTACGACATAAATGTTCACAATAAATAACAAACATACAATTAATTTTTGAAAAAATAAAATTCATACAAAATACAATGTGAATATTCACAATTTATAATTAACATACAACTAGTCTTAAAAAAAAATAACTCATATCAATGTAAACATTTATACTGCAACGTAAAAACATGAAACAAAATTAAAAAAAGTGAAAATTGACTATTTCAATTGGTCAATGATAACAAAAATGATTATTTAACTAACAAATATAGTAACAAAAACAACAAACATACAATTAACTTTCAAAAAAATAAAACTTATACCAAAATACAATATGAATGTATACAATTTATAACTAATATACAACTAGTTTTAAAAAACAAAAAAAATATGCTCATACAAATGTGAACATTCACATTGTAATGTAAAAACATAAAATAAAATTGAAAAAAGTGAAAATCGACTATTTCGATTGTTCAATAGTAACAAAAATGATTGTTCAACCAACCAGCCTAATAAAAAAAAAAAAACAAAATACAACTAACTTTCAAAAAAATACTCATACAAAAATATAATGTGAATACTCACATTTACAATTAATATATAGCCAACCTTAGAAAAATTAAATTCATACAAATATAAATATTTACACTGCAACATGAAACAAAATTAAATGTTTGGCAAATATCAACACAAAATTTTTTTAGCAAAAACAGAAGAAGTAAATAATGGGAATTTTTGAACTGTTTATTGATAGATTTAAAAAAATAATAATAAAAAAACCCCGCAAAATACAAGTGTCACCTTCCAAATCATCTTAGGCTTCAACTCTCTGCATAAATTGGGCCTGAGGTCGGACCAAGAAAATCGGCATATTTAACATGATCCCCAAATCGATTGGGCCTAGAATTTGTAAGAGGTATTGCATAGGGCTCAGCAAGGAATTCGTAAAATTCGTAATCCGATCCAGTCCAGTCCAATTCGATAGGTTTGGATTGATTTTTTGAATCCGCGGTTCGGTTCTGGATTGAAGAATTAAAAATCCGTAGTCCACGGATTGGTTCCAGATTGGAACCAATCCGGACCGTATACAAATAGTCTATATTTTTATTATACATCCTCCCCCATAGTATCTTCTCTTATTCTATATAAAATCTAAACTCAAACCTAAACCTCGTATAATATCTTCTTTTATTACTTTTGTTTTTTAGTTTTTAGTTTTAATTTGTAATGGTCTAAATACTTATGGTGAAATCAGTTTTTTTATGATTGTTTAAATTCTAAAACATTATGTCGCTATTATAGAAAAACATGTTGCTATTGTAGAACTAATATAGCGCTATGTTTTTATTTTTATAAAATTAAAGTATTATATATATATATATATATATTTTTGTTATTTAATTATGTGAATCCATGGTCCTAAACCGATCCAATCACTAAAAAAAAGGATTGGTTCGGATTGGTTCCACGATTTAAACGGATTGGATTGGTTCCTAATTTTGTTAAAAACGCGTAAGATAAATGAATTGGTGCCTGGTTATAACCAACAATCCCAGTCTCAATCCGCGACCATGGCTCACCCCTAGTATTGGCATCAACTGAGGCTAATATATGGCACCAACGTGTCAATGAGTTTTCAGAATTTGTTGTTTGGTTAACTCTTAGGACTAATCGAAATTCATTCTTAATAAATCTGAACAGTAATATTTCATTATAATAGTTCAAATATATATATATATATATATATATATATATACATAAAATTAGGTACCGTACAAAAATAATTATTTGATCAAATCACATATATGTTTTAATAAACAAATGGTACATTTTAAAAAATGTATATACCGTATAAATAATAATAATCTAATGTTATGTCAATTAATATTACATAAATAAATTTTTTAATTGATTATATAAGATAAATGGTGAAAATTAAAAATAATTTATTTCCCTTAAAATTAAAAAATTTAAATTTAACAAATCTAAACTCTTGCTTGTAAAGTGTTGGAAACTAATTATAAAGGGCTTCGTTTGGGAAGTGGGTTTGTTTTTTACTTTTTTGACTATTTTAGTCTGGGGTTAAAAAGTCTGGTTTGGGAACGACTTTTGACTTTTTTGTGAAAAAAATAATATAATGATTATGGGTTGAATGTGGTATTTTGTCTAGTTTGGGAATAACTTTTGAAACTAATTCATAACAATAGTCTCCCATTTTATGGAGAAAATCTTTTTATCATCCCAAAGATAAAATCTTTCCCTTATTCCATGGAGAAAAATCTCTCATTATTCTAATGAGAAAATCTCTCTCGCATCCCATGGAGAAAATATCAAATTATGAACTTTGAACCTTTTTATAACAGTTGTGCTAGGGACCCCAGTGAGGGCACCCCCAGTTTTTTTTCATTGGCCAGTTTTTTTTTTTTTTTCAATCACCCATAGCCATGTGGGGCTGGGGGTCACTGGAGGTGGGGGTCTGCCACATTTTTCCTTTTTATAATTTGAAAATTTTAAAAATAACGCAACAAAAGATCTGAATGAAAATCAAAATGCAATGTGAATGTTTACAGTAAACAACAAACATGCAACCAACTTTTGAAAAAATAAAATACATATTAAAGTACGACATGAATGTTCACAATAAACAACAAACATACAATTAACTTTCGAAAAAATAAAATTCATACAAAATTCAATGTGAATATTCACAATTTATAATTAACATACAACTAGTCTTAAAAAAAATAACACATCCCAATGTAAACATTTATAATGCAACGTGAAAACATAAAACAAAATTAAAAAAAGTGAAAATTAACTATTTCAATTGGTCAATAATAACAAAAATGATTGTTTAAGACCATCTCCAACGGTGAACCAAACCTGGCATCAAATTTAAAATTTGGTGAAAAAGTCACTTTTTTAAGCTCCAACGGTTTCACCAGATCAATATCAAATCCAGAATTCAGCAAAAATGGTACCAAACTGAGTGCAGGCGAAGCGTTTAACCAAATCACTGTTCCTAACCGTTGGGATGAGACGAACGGGTCGACCATCCGGTTGACCAACCGGTCGCCCCAGAGAAAGTTCAGACCGTTCACAAAAAGGTTCAAACGACTCAAAAAAAAAAAAAAAAAAAAATTTGCCTAGTTGGTCGACCACCAAAAGTTGAAAAAGTTCAAAAAAAAAGGTTCAAACCGGTAAAAAAAAATAAAAAAATAAAATAAAATTTGCCGTTACCGGTCGACCGGCCGGTCAACCAACCGGTTGCCCAACGCAAATTTGATGAAACGGATTTGATGTTGAACCGTTGGAGCGCGAAGTATCAAATTAAGGAAATGACCCATTTTTGACTCAGATTTGGTGAAACATTTGGTACACCGTTGGAGATGCTCTAACTAACAAATATAGTAACAAAAAAACAAACATACAATTAACTTTCAAAAAATAAAACTTATTCCAAAATACAATATGAATGTTCACAATTTATAATTAATATACAACTAATTTTAAAAAATAAAAAAATAAACTCATTCAAATGTGAACATTCATACTGCAACGTAAAAACATAAAATAAAATTAAAAAAAATGAAAATCGACTATTTCGATTGTTCAATGGTAACAAAAATGATTATTCAACCAACAAGCCTAATAAAAAAAAAAACAAAATACAACTAACTTTAAAAAAAAAATCAAAAAAAAAAAAAACACATACAAAAATACAATGTGAATGTCCACAATTTACAATTAATATATAGCCAACCTTAGAAAAATTAAATTCATACAAATGTGAATATCTACATTGCAACGTGAAACAAAATTGAAAGAAAAAAAAAAAAAAGAAGAAGAAGACTTTCAATTGTTTAATGGTAACAAAAAAGATTGTTCAAACAACAAGTATAATAACAAATAACTAATGATATGTGAACATTACATCCTACAAAATATATAATTAGGTCCATATCTATATTTCAACACTTATTTCCAGACTTTCAAACAACGTGAAATGTAAACATTTACACTGATTGATAAAAATAATAATAATAATAATAATAATAATAATAACAATAATAATAATAGAATTAGAAATCTAAAAAAAAAAAAAATCAATCAGTCTAAAAACAAAAATAAATATCACCCACATCCTCATCTTTATCATCATATTTATCATTAACAATCTATGCAATTTCACCATTCTACCAATTCAAATCAAATCAAACTCACTTTTTAATAGTATGTTTATAACAAAATTGATTGGACATAAAGAGAACTTTGTCTTACAACAATAGAGAAACATTTTGAACATAGAGCAATAATAGACAAACACAAAATTTCGAACATAAAGTGATAATGAAAGAATATAAAACTTCACTACAACAATGGATGAACATAATAATTTCACCACCATATGTAAACTATAATTTTTAAACCCCGCCAAATAAAGAGTTTCGAAACCATAGCATAATGAAATAATGCCACAAATATAAATGAAACTGATTAAAAAGAAAAACATGAATAATGATAATTATCAAAATAGAAGTAGCAACAAAAATGAAACGTGTATATTATTTTTCTATATAATATATATGAATAATAGACACAAGGGTATAATAGTCTAACAAACAATATAAATCAGAAAAAAAAAGATCTCCTGAAATGAAAGTATAAATATATGGATATATAAATAGAAACTTCGGTTGCGTTTGGTAGAGTTTTGTAATTATGATTTAAGAGTATGAGTTGTATTTTGAGTTTGTGAGATTTGGAATTATGATTTGAGTGTGAAAAATTTGTTTGGTAAAGAGTTTTGGTTTGAGTGGGGAATTGTTGATGTGACATTTGATATTTGATGCAAAAATTTATAACTCATAACCAATATACAATTCAAAATTTTTTGAAGCACATAAATTTTTTTAAAAAATTTAAAAAATATTTTTTTTTGATTATATAAAAATTAACATATCAATTGAAAAAAAATAATAATAAAATTTTACTATTCCGGTCAATCGGTTAGACAACCGGTTAGGCAAAATTTACAAAAAAAAAAAAAAAAATTCGAAAAGCACGCATGTGACAGAGTTATATGCAGAGTTTTGAAAAATTGATTCAAAAACTCTTACCAAACATAATATTCAAATATAAGTCTAGAATTATGTTTTCAAAGCACAGCCAAACAGAATCAGAACCCCAAATTGGATTTATCAATAATTTATCAACAACAATAATTCATCCCACTAAAAATATTACCACTAATTACACTAATGCATTAAAAAAGTAAAAAAAAAAAAACAATACAACTCCAAGATCAAAACATCACATCATTAATGACGGGACCCACTACCACCTAATTAGTGGGAGCACTAATTAGTGCTCCCAGGCATTTTTCATTTATCAATAGGAACCCAAAATTAGATTTATCAATAATTTTTTTTATAATTAATTTAAATATAAATAATCTAATAATTCATCATTTGATTTGACGCATGGGATGATGTATGCGCTGATGACGGTTATTCTCTCTCACTCTCTCTCTCTCTCTCTCTAAGAGGGGCTGTGTGTGTGTCCTCTCACCACTTCTTCATGTTTGGCGCCCTTTGTTCCAACGCCACGAATCTAATTCCTCCCCCTTCTTCTTCTTCTTCTTCTTCTTCTTCTTCTTCACACACCTCTCAATCTCCACAACTCAATAGCTCAAATTGATTCTGTGATTCTCTTCTCGAGTAGTAATTCACAACTTACTAGTTTCTGTTTTTACGCACAGAAAGAGAGAGAGATAGAGAGAGATAATTAGGTTTTGGGAATGGTGGGCACAACAAGACAAGGCATTCCTTCTTGGATAAGCGCCGCAGCATCGCGAGGAGTTGAACTCGACGCAAACCTAACCACCTCTGTATCCGATAACATGGCGAGATCATCAGACGAAGAAATCGAAGAACGATCTTCGCTCCAATCTCAATCTCATCACCATTCCAAAACCCTATCGGATTTCAATTTAGGTTTTGCGGAGAGGGCTTTCTCCGCCGCCGGTGCCGCCGTCCTCTCGGCCGTCCTCGTTAACCCTCTCGATGTCGCCAAGGTACTTGTTTCTCTTCTCCCTTATAAATTCGTTGTTTTCAGCGATTTGTATTGGTTCTGGAAGATACCTAGTTGTTCATCTCTACTCTATTCATGTTTGAGAGATTGTTGGTGGTTATGTGTGATTTGAATGATTTGAGGGATAGGATACGGTTAGTTATTCACTATGCTTAGTTTCTTAGTCATGCATGGATGATGAGATACGCATTTGTTATAAACTTTGAATTGTTGTCTGCCATTGTGATTTTTACGCTGTGTTTAGTTGGGGAATTTAGAGATGAATTTGGAACGGAAAAGGAAAAGAAAAAATGTGTGTGAAATTGGGTAAAATGTCAGTATATCTTATTCACATTTTATTTACCTTTTTCTTTTTCCTTTCTAAATTCTTTTTTAAATCCCCCAAATAAACACCGCTGTAATGTTAGATTAGTACCAAAAAGCTTAGGAATGGACCAACAATGTATATCGAGCTCTGTAACACCTTCTATCTCACCCAATTTTGTCTTGCACGTGGGGATTTAAACATCCATTTATGCAAAGAAGAAACAACATTATGGAGGTGTACACATTCATGCATATACATACTCAGAAGCACGGACACTTCTATAGATGAAGCGTCTATGGACACTCGACAAAGCATGTCTAATACTTTTTCGATGTGTCTTAATTAAAAATGTAAATTTATAGTACCGGACACTTTATAATTCTCAAAAAAAAAAAAAGTACCAGACACTTTATAAACATTTCGACGACACTTTTTAAACTTTTCGAACACGACCTATGTGATGAATATCTTCATAGTAAAAATGTTTTGTATTCTTTGAAATGCAACTTATTTACTCTAAATATGTTTTGAAACATTTATAAGATGAATATATCATGTTTATTTCTATATTCTACAACTATTTTACATTCTTTAGAATGTAACCAAAAGTTATGGAATATATTTTAATTTAATTAGTGCTATGTGTTTTTGTTTGTTTTTTTTTGGGTTACATTTGAATAAACTATTCATATATAATAAATTTATAAGAATATAAAATTTTAATGTATCCCAAGCGTGTCATGTCCTGTATTTTTTGAAAATCGACGTGTTAGTATTGTGTCACATGTCCACGTGCGTTGCTACAAAGAAGAAAGAGTGCAAGTGAGGACTTGAACCGAAACCCTTCCCCAAACTAAGCTCTAATACCATATTAGATCACCACTAATCACAAATGTTTAAGCAATTATGAAATTGGCCCAACAATCATTTATTTTCCTTTCTCGCCTTGCAATCCAAATGGAGTGCTAATTCCCCTCCATGGTAAGATTGGTTGAATAGTATCATATCTCTGCTTACTTATAGTTTTAACATCCCTCTTTTAGCTCACCCTCTTCCTCTTCCCCGCCTAATGAGGTCAAATTATTGCTGTGTTCATTTGATTGGTTTATTAACTAATTGATACTCTTACTCGTGTCGTGGAAGTCAATTCCAGTGGCTTTTCGAACAGACCTCATTTTCCTTTGTATGTTTATTTCATACTTCAGTAACTGACAGTGATTGGAGATATCTCTTGTGAGTTGTTGCTGAATTCAAATTTGGTTTGATTTATATGAGTTGCCTCTGATATTCCCCCAATTCTGTGTAGTGAAAATTTCTAGTTCACTGATCATATTAGTTAACTGTTTCAAAATTGAGGATATAGTGAATTTGATTGGTTGTTATTTTTGCTGCCTGTTTTTCAGACAAGGTTGCAAGCACAGGCTGCTGGTGTCCCTTATGATGGTATTTGCAATATGGCATGTTTTGAAACAAACACGGTATGTTTGCAAAGGATATTTATTGATTTCTTATTTGAATATATTTGTAGTCTGGCGGGACCTTACAAATTTGCATCAGATTGTTGAGCGTCTTGATTTCTTTGAACTTTAAAGAAGTGCAAGACTGAGAGGCACAAAGTATCACTAGGCCCTTGTAACTATCTTATTTTTTGATAATCTGTTTGGCATTCAACAATCATGCTATGCTTCCTAAATACTTCCCTGCATATCTGACTCTAATTCAATGGGTAAATCCTCTTTGTTTTTGTTGCCATATATCTTTTCTATTAAATAGTCAATCCAAGTTGAATTAAAGCTGTAGTATACTAGTATCAATTCAATTCTCTAGTGTTTGCCTAATGCATGTAGTTTGTGGGTAATTTTGTGCATCCTCTGCAACGTAGTGTTGACTTAGAATCGGCTATGAACACCTTGGGATAATTTTTTCTCCACAGGGAGATCTTGCGTTACTAGAGTTGCATTTTGCATGCTGGTCATTGCTCCATAGCCGTAGGTGAAATCATAATCATCCCCTAATTAGTTGCATGACATCTATTGAGAGTATATCATAATAAACAACATACACCAAGGTCCAATTCTTACAATGTTAAGCTATAGCAACATAACATGGTAGTACTACTACCAACAAGAAGGAAAGTAATTTGATATTTTTAAAAAACAAATTTCATTTATATTACTTAGCCTAAAGGGGTTCTTTATTGATCTTTTGTTTTTTTGTTTTTTTTTGGTCACAATTTTGTATCAACTTTGCAATCATCTCATTGAATTTGGAATTTAATTTATCCAGAAAACTGTTCCTTTTCTACCCAATGCTTATTATTATCAGTATGGGTAATGCTATGCAAGAAAAAAAATTGTACAGAATGATGTGATGTTTTGTGATTCTTTCATTTCAAGCAAAAACACCCATATCATTGTGACTTATAATTGCAAAATGCCACTACCACATCATTTCCGATGGATTTTATATATAAAAATTATATTGTAAATCATTTTTCTGTCAGTATTGGAAACTTGGATTCTGTTTGATAATGCCCCATACTGAATTCAGTTGATTAATTTTGGCTTTGAAATTGTTTTTAGATGCTTCCAGATATGAGGTGTCCTCCACCCTGCACTCATGCAGTTCTTGATGCTGAAACAGCATGTCCTCGGGATTGCTCTCGGTATAAAGGCACATTGGATGTCTTCTACAAAGTTATACGTCAGGTTGGTCAATTTATGTAATTAGCACTAATGCCATATCAGATAACTGTATATTTATATTATGCAAATTTACTCTTATGTTTGTATAATATAAGGTAACAGTTGTTATCAGGTGTTTAACTGGTATGGAAATGTGCAGGAAGGATTTGCAAGACTTTGGAGAGGCACAAATGCAAGTTTAGCATTGGCTGTGCCAACTGTAAGTCTATTCTGACTAAGGTTTTGAAAAATGGTTGCAGTTGTCGTAACGGTTGCGGGGTGTAAAGGCTGTAACGTAACGGTTGCGGTAATCAAAACCGTGAATTTTTTTTATTTTTCACACAATTTGAAGAAAACTTACTGATACACATTTTTTTTTTAAATCACATTTATTGGGGTTTAAAATAAATTTTGATCAATTTTTGTTAATTTTTAAGTATGATTCAATATATTTCATATTTTCAAATCACTATAAAAGGAGCTTTTTACATTTTATTTCAATAGTTAATGATTTTAAGAATAATTGATTTTAAATGGCTACAAATTATTTTTTACCAATATATGAACTAACTAAATAAAAAATATTCACAATTATTAAATGAAAGGATTATAAGATAAAAATTATGCCATAAATTAAAAAAAAAAATTATAAAGAAATTTTTTTTTATATAAAATTTTTTCTTTGGGCTTGGATCACTTAAATATTTGTTTTTTTTTTTTTTTTTTTTTTTTGTAACATTTTTTTTGTGTTTGAGAAAAGAAGCTATGCAAAATATTGTAAAAATGTGTAACGGTGTCTAACGGACCGCTACGGTTGTTACGTAACCCCGAAACGGCTGTTACGCATGCGAATTTCCATCACACCGCTATAACAACCGTAACGGGTGGCGGTAACCACCACAACCATTACGTAACGGCGTTACATAACGGTTGCAGCCGTTTTTTAAAACCTTGAATATGACAATAATATCTTTTTTCCTTCTTAAGGTTTCTTTCAGGGCCCCCACACAGATGTGATATGAGGTTTAGTTTTAGAACTTACTGATATTTGTTGTTTAAAAAAAAAAAACCTTCCAACCAGGTGGGGATCTACTTGCCTTGTTATGACATTTTCCGCAATTATATGGAAGAATTCACATCACAGAATGCCCCAAGCCTTACGCCCTATGTCCCCTTAGTTGCTGGCTCAGTGGCACGCTCATTAGCTTGTGTCACTTGTTACCCTGTTGAACTTGCAAGAACTCGTATGCAGGTATTACACGTTGTACATAAATGTCTTACTCGTATGCAGGTATTCCATGAACATAAATGTCTTTGTTTATATGCCCATGGAAAAGCATTTCACACGTGTCATTATAATTTATATGTGATGATGTGACATCTCTGGAAATAGTCAAGTTTTTGGGTCATGCGGTAGTATATGTACATATTTTGTAGTTGTACATTCTATCAGTACTAGAATCAGGTTTGATTAAGCTAAATCATAGTGTGTGGACAACTCTGTGAATTTTCTTGACTTAACTCGACCCAACCGAACTCAACTTTGTGACCCTAAGAAAAGGGTATTTGAAACGAAAAATGTTTGAGGGCCACAAAAAGTGTGGCTCAAATAGCTCAAAACTGTCAAAACGACGTCGTTTTGTGTCGTTTTACGCCCAAAACGACGTCGTTTTACGCCCAAAATGACGTCGTTATGGCAATTTTGAGCCATTTGAGCCACACTTTTTGTGGCCCTCTACCATTGCTCATTTGAAACATAGTTGTTGAAAAACTAATAATAAGTGATCAACTAGAGTGACATATAAACTAGCTTCATGTGAAGATAAAATCAAAAAGCTTTTGATTGCTATTGATAACATAATTGCTTTCCTAGGTAATGGGCATTGCTTTGGTGCAGTTGTTGCAGTTTGGGCAGCCAAGTGTTACCTGGTTTTAGGGCTGCAAACGAGCCATGCTGGGTTGAGCTTTGAAGTGCTCGAGCTCGACTTGATAATTAATCCAGTTCGAACTCGCCTTTCTTGCTATTATTTACCTTATTTAAATATAAAAATAATATATTTATATTATTTAATATATAAATACTATATATATCCTGTTATTTAAATAAATAATAAACGAGCAAGTCCACTATCTACCACCAACACCACTATCATATTATATGCATGAACACAATTTCCAGCATTTAAATAAATAATAAACGAGCAAGTTTGAGCTCGGCTCGTTTATTAAATGAACCTAAAAGTTTGGCTTGAGCTCGTTTATTTACGTAACACATTGATCCCTTACTGAGTCGGGCCAAGCTCGCGAACAGCTTAGTTCATTTGCAGTCCTACGTGATTTCAAGTCCAAGAGTAGTTACTTTGCACAAATAATGCTAAGGGTTAGGTTTGTATCTAACTCACCCTTCTAGCACATTGAATTAATGGAACCAGCCCTGTTTTTAGTTAGGCCTCGTTTGGGAAGCGATTGGTTTAGCCAAAAAGCCAAAAAGTTACTAAATTAGCCAAAAAGCCAACAACCCATACCAAAAAGTCAAAGATTCTCTTTTCTCTCTACTTTTTGCACATCTTTTCGTAAAAAGTCAAAAAGTCATCCCAAACATACTAGTTTTTTTTAGCTCATATTTTAGCCAAATAGCAAAAAAGTTACTAAATTAGTCTGTTCCCAAACGAGGCTTTAATCTATGGTTTTGTGTATACTCAGTTTTTTTTATTCAGTTTTTTTATCTTTTCCTTTTCTTTTTTTCAGTTCTGAAATTTGTAAAGGCAATATATACTTAGAAACTTCTAATTTTTGGATGAACCCCTGCCAAATTTTGATATTGGATGCTATGATAAAAAAAGGATTTGACTTCTTCCTTTACTACCTTTGCTGGAGATAACTTTTTTGATTGCCATATTAGTTTTTTGCTAAATTTTGTAATTCTAGTTTGAAATTCTTTTGGCTTTAGGCATTCAAAGAAGCTCAAGGTGGTGTGAAGCCTTCAGGAGTTTTTAAGACATTGTCTGGGATCGTCTCCCCAGTTGGGAGCAGAAACAGCCTTCAAAACAGTAAGTTGACCACTGGATTCAAATTTTAAAGGTTTTCTGCAAGAAACAACATAATTGATTGTAATCTATTAATAAGCATATTCAAATTTTGGCTGACTAATGAAGCGGCCATACTCATTACCCATGTTCCGAATTACTATCTGATCACTAGTTCAGGCCAATTCTTCTCAGTGGTCAACGTTTTATTTTTGGTGGATTCAATAATTTCGTAGTTATCATAAAATATGTTTCGAAGATCAGCTATAGATTTTAGCATAAAACCTTGTTAGGATAGTTGATAGAGTATAGAACCTTTCATTTTGCGTAATAGTTCTGGATCCTCTTAAACAAATTAAGAGCTCAAATATATATTTTGCTCATTGAGATGCACAGGTAGCAAGTAGTAGAACCAATAATTCCTTTAATGTTGGGTGAAAGTAACACTCTGAGGTTAAGAGTTCAAATATATATTTTGGTGCATGGCTGACGTTTCAATATTATATATCTTTTCTTGACATCCACAATTGCTCATCTTAAGATATTTTACGTGGAAAAATATTCAGAGTAGATTGTATTTCTCTAATGACTTTCCAAGCTCCACTCTTTAAAAATGTAATTTTTTTTTAGTTGCTCATTGAACAAGTCCCAACTATTAATTTGTAGCTTTTATGTCAGAACTTGCAAGTATGAGACACTGTTTCAACAGATCTCTGTTTTGATTTAATATTCTCATCCACTACCTAAGAAATAAAGAAAGAAAAAGGAATCTCGATCTCATTATTTGCATTTGGTTGCTTAGCTTCTGTTTCTGATAACATACTTTCATTGGGCAGTGCAAAGCTACCGCCTCTTGTGGACAGGCCTTGGAGCACAACTTGCACGTGACGTTCCTTTCTCTGCCATCTGCTGGTCAACCCTTGAGCCTGTGAGATTTCATTCTTTTATGAAGCACTGGGATAATTGTGGTTCTTACTCAATGATTTAATTCGGCAAAAAGGATTCAACTTTATGTGATTTCTTTTGCTCCTGTGCAGATCAGGAGAAGAATATTTGGTCTAATGGGTGATGAAATCAGTGCAGCCAATATCCTGGGGGCAAACTTCTGTGCTGGATTTTTTGCTGGAAGCCTTGCAGCTGCTGCTACATGTCCCTTAGATGTTGCAAAAACTCGGCGGCAGATTGAGGTTGTTTCTCTAAACCGAGCTTTCTTAGCACACATTTATGTTATCCAAGTTCTGCATTAACTATCATTTCAGTGTTGAAATTGAGAAGAATGATATAATCATAATTCATGAGTGAAAGAGACCTGTGTAATTGTCATGATTTATATTTCTCTCCACACGTGGAATATTGTAGTGGGTTCTGAGAGCTTATAGTAGGCTGGCAAAATTGTCATTTCCCCCCCTAACTAGACTAGGCACTAGGGCATGATCCATTAGTTGGCCTTCATGGCTTGGTCCTCTCATGGTTTTGAAAATCGGACCGGTCACCGATTGAACCGTCGACCAGTCGGAGTTCCAGTCCGGATATACCCTCTAAACCGTTCGAAGCTAAAAATCGGCCTATTTAGAGAGAACGGGGAAAACCGGCGGTTGAACCGGCGAATCGGTCAACCCAAAAGCCGGTTCACCGAGTAGATGAAACTGAAAATTTTGTTTTTTTTTAAATTTCTTCTAACTTTTTTTTTATTTATTCTTTTTTTCTTAACTAAAACAGAGTACATGAAGTGTAAATTTAGTAATAGTAATAATGAAAGCAGAGGAGAAGTGAAGATTGAGAACTGTTAAGTGTTAGGGATAGTTTGGTCTTTATGTATTATTCTTATTAGTATAAGTAGTTGTGTGTAAGGGGGAAACCCTAAGTTTTGAATCAATAATCTATAGCAGCTTTCTCTTGTTCTATTCCTTCTTCTTCTTTTTCTTCTTCTTCTCATCTATACATTTAACATGGTATCAGAGCACTATCTTCCTCCTTGAAGATTGTTCCTTAGAGCCCCATATTGTTCCTGGTACGTCTGTTATAGCCCAAAAAAAAAAAAAAAAAAAAAAATTTACAGTATGCTCGAAATTTAATGGGTAATCACCCTATAATCTCATTTTGATTGTTTGGTCATTATTGGTTGAATTTTCTAATTTTTTTGATTTTTCGTCAAAATTGGGTGATTTTTCAAAAATCACTGTTTGACCCTCTTTTTTCTGGTTTTGTCCCTTCTTCTCCTATCCTTGGGAGTCGACTGGAACCCTAGAGGGGTTTGTTGTCCCTGGTTTGATGTATTTTGGCCCTATCTTGGATTTTTATCGCTATTCAGATGCTCTGCTTCGGTTTTCTGACTAGTAATTGATCTGGTTGCTCTATTCTGGGCTTCTTTTGGACTGTTTTAGCCTTAGAAGGTGTTTGGTGTGCTGGTTGGGTGATTTGTGAACTTGTTTGATATCCGGCTTGTGTTTTTTGCACCCTCTTTTCTTATCTCATGGCAAACAGCTTGGGTCAGGACTCTAAGGGCAAGGAAGAGAGTGGACTGAGTCGTGGTCTGACTCTTGGTGATAGTCCTTCTCTCCAGATTAGTCCGGTCAAACTTAATGGTTTTAATTACTTGATTTGGTCCCGCTCCTATAGTCTTGCGATTGTCGCCCGGCGTTTGACTGGCTATATTACTGGTAGTAGTACCCAGCCACCTACTGAGGATAGTACTTTATCTGCTCAATGGATTTCTGAGAATGCTTTAGTTATGACCTGGCTCATTAATTCTATGGAGCCCACCATTAGTCGGACTTTTCTCTTGATAGATACTGCTCACAAGATCTAGATAGCTGCCTCTCAAATGTATTCTCAACAAGGGAATGATGCACAGGCCTATGAATTGCGTAAGACGATTAGGGGTTTGGATCAGAAAGATCGCTCTCTGGCAGTCTACTATGCTGAGTTGAGTGGTTTGTGGCAAGAGCTAGATTTCTACCAGAGTTTCCAGCCAGTTTGCTCCAAGGATGCCACTATGTTTCAGCAGGCTGTGGAGAAGGAGCGGGTGTATGACTTTCTTGCTGGTCTGAATTTGGAGTATGATCAGATACGGGTTCAGGTGTTGGGTCGCTCTCCGTTTCCTACATTGCGTGAGGCTTATGCCCTGGTTCAGCAAGAGGAGAGTCGTCGCAGTGCTATGGTGCATGCTCCTGTTCTGGATCGGTCAGCGATGGTTGTCGGCCCCAAGTCACGTGATACTCCACCTTTTCTGCCTCCAGGTGGTGGTAAGGGTCCATTGGTTGATCGGGACCGGTTGAAGTGTGAGTATTGTGGGAAAGATAGACATGATAAAGAACACTGTTGGAAGCTGCATGGCCGCCCTACTTGAGGCCGTGGTCGTGGTGGTGGTGTTCGTCCTCAAGCACATATTTCTGAGACTACTGCTAGTGCCTCGAATGATGCTAGTTCTATTTCCCCGGATGAGCTTCACACTCTCAGACGTTTGATGGCTCGACTTGATTCTTCATCTGCCTTAGCTCTTTCCTCTTCTGCCTCTTCCAACTTTGCTCACACAGGTATTTCTGCTAGTGCCCTCAGTGCTTCTTCGTCGTCTCCTTGGATCATTGATTCCGGTGCTACCGATCACATGACGGGTACTTCTAGTTTTTTCCATTCTTATTCACCTAGTTCTGGGTGAGATAAGGTTAGAGTGGCTGATGGCACTTTATCTTCTATCTCCGACAAGGGTTCTGTTCGTTGCACCTCTTTACTTTCGCTTTCATCTGTTCTTCATGTTCCTAATTTTTCAACTAACTTACTTTCTGTTAGTAGCCTTACTACTGCTCTCAATTGCTCTGTAACCTTTTTTCCGACTCATTGTGTCTTTCAGGAACTGGCTACGGGGAAAATGATTGGCAGTGGTAGAGCACAAAGTGGTCTGTACTTTCTGGATGCCATGCCTGCCTCACCTTTGTCCTCTCAGGCTCTTCAATGCACTTCTGGCTCCTCCCTTCGTCTCCTTCATCAGTGGTATCGCCGTTTGGGGCATCCTTCCTTTAGCATTTTAGAGAAACTTTTTCCTTTATTAGTTCGTGATTGTCCTAGGAATAACTTTGTTTGTGATGTTTGTGAGCTTGCTAAGCATAAACGTACTTGTTATCCTTCAATTAATAAAAGAAGTACTTTTCCTTTTATGCTTATTCATACCGATGTGTGGGGTCCTTCCCCTGTTGTTTCTACCTCTGGTTATCGATGGTTTGTCACATTCATTGATTGTTATTCCCGTGTGACTTAGCTTTATTTACTTCGTACAAAAAATGAAGTTTTCTCATGCTTCAAAAGTTTTCATAAAATGGTATCCAATCTCTTCAATGCTACTATCAAAATTCTTAGGAGTGATAATGGGACTGAGTATGTTGATGGCGCTTTCCGGGCATACCTCGACGACCATGGCATTCTTTATCAGACTAGTTGCTGAACGTAAGAATGGCCATCTACTTGAGGTTGCTCGCTCTCTCTTGTTTACCATGAACGTTCCTAAGTCCTTTTGGGGGGATGCGGTTCTTACCGCGGCTTATCTTATTAACCGTATGCCCTCTAGTGTCCTCCACTTCCACATTCCTCTTGAGCTTCTTCCTGTGACGTATCCCACTTCTTCTCTTCCGCCTCGAGTTTTTGGTAGTGTCTGTTTTGTTCATCTTCAACCTCGGACTCGTGGGAAGCTTGATCCTAAGGCTGTCCGGTGTGTCTTTCTTGGTTATTCTGCTACTCAGAAAGGCTACAAATGCTATGACCCTCACTCTCATAGGTTGTATGTTAGTATGGATGTCACCTTCCGTGAATCTGAGTCTTTTTTTCCTGGTCCTTTGCCATCTCCTCAGGGGGAGCATGGTATCGATGAGATTGTGGATGAGACGGCATCATATCAGCATGAGTTGTCTTTTTTCCTTCCTCCTCAACGGGCTGTTATTTGTGGTGAGGGGGAGCCTAGGAGTTCTGTTGATGAGGAGTCGGATATCGGTGGTCGTTTGGACAGAGCTGATCTTAAGACTTATTCACGGCGTCAGAAAGAGCCGGCTTCTCTTGTGCCACCAAGTCAATCATCATCTCCTATGCCAGTTCCACACCCAGTTTCCACTAACTCTTCAGGTAATGATCCTCATCTCATTTCTTCACCTGTTGTTGATGGTCCTATTACGGATGATTTGAGTCTTCCTATTGCTCTCAGAAAGGGGGTTAGAGCTTGTGCTCAACACTCTATTTCTAAATTCGTGTCATATGATTCGTTGTCTTCTACGTATCGTGCTTTTGTTTCGTTCTTTTCTTCTGTGTATATTCCGCAGGGTTGGAAAGAAGCCATCAATGATCCTAAGTGGAAGGTAGCTATGGTAGAAGAGATGCAAGCTTTGAGTAAAAATAACACATGGGAGTTGGTGTCTCTTCCAAATGGGAAACGCCCAGTCGGATGTAAGTGGGTGTTCACCATTAAGCACAATGCAGATGGGACGATTGAACGGTACAAAGCAAGACTAGTGGCCAAGGGATTTACCCAAACATATGGAATAGATTATCAATAAACTTTTGCCCCGGTAGCAAAGATGAATTCCATTCGAGCTATTCTGTCATGTGCGGCTAATTTGGGATGGTCTCTACAACAACTAGATGTGAAGAATGCTTTTCTTCATGGGGATTTGGAGGAGGAGGTATATATGGATGTACCTCCAGGATTCTCATCTCAGTCTACAGTTGGAAAGGTTTGTAGATTAAAGAAGGCTTTGTACGGTTTGAAACAATCTCCTAGAGCCTGTTTTGGTAGATTCCTCAAGGCAATGCTGGGATTTGGGTATCAGCAAAGCAATGTGGATCACACCTTGTTTGTCAAACGCAATGTACATAAGGTAACAGTGCTTATTGTATACGTGGATGACATAGTTATGACAGGTAATGATGAGGAGGGGGTGACCCATCTCAAGATGCAGTTAGCCAAGGAGTTTGAGATAAAAGAACTTGGTCCATTGAGATACTTCCTTGGGATTGAAGTTGCTAGATCTGACAAAGGCATCTTTATTTCTCAAAGGAAGTACATTTTAGATCTTCTTGAGGAAACGGGCATGTTGGGCTGCAGACCAGCTGATTCACCAATTGAGACTAATCATCATCTTTGTAGTGGAATTGGTGAGCCTGTGGAGAAGGAAAGGTACCAAAGACTTGTGGGAAGACTGATATA